AGTTTGCTTTGAATATTAAAAATTGAATTAAATAGTGTTTTCAGTTTGTGGTGCTAAAATACAGTTAAATTCTGCTTTAATACAGTGGAAATTTCTAAAAATCCGAGTAACCTTAACTGGTTCCCGCCCGGCCTATGGCCGAATGGCGGCCGGCGAAAACCCTCACTGTTCTGGGTCGACTCCATATGGCGTCCTTTCGGGCATGCACAGCTTGCACGCCTGCAGAGCCACGCAGCGGCGCGATCTGTCACCGGCTGTATACCTCAGACACGGAAGATGACAGATCTGAGTACCGGCCCCGTTGCCGGTACCATGTGACCTGCTGTGACCAATCACAGCAGGTCACATTTCAGTTGTATACAATGGATGGCTTCATTCATGCCATCCATTGTATACTAGTGTGTCTAGCTGTGAATGGTCACAGCAATCACATGCACAAGCTGGGCCAATCACAGCCCAGCTGTGTCATGTGATTAGCCGTGGCCAAATCACAGCTAAGCACAAAAAAAAAAAAAAAACCCTGAATGAATTGATGTCATTCAGGTAAATGCTTGCTTATAGCAAAGTAATTTTTTGCTACAAGCAAATTGTGTATAAAAAAAAAAAAAAATGATCACTTCCCCAAAGTAGTACAATGTTACTATGGTAACATTGTACTACTTTGGTCATAGTGAAATATGAAAAAAGAAATCTTTAAAAAAAAAAAAAAAAAAAAGTAATAATTCAAAATAATAAAAAAAATAAAAAAAAAGTATATATATTTTTTTTTTCATACTGTCACCAGTCAGTGTCCCTGATCACCACCATGCCAGTTATATGATGACGCTGTACTGCACTGGTGACAGTATGTGTAAAAATAAAATAGTGAAAATAATTTTTTTCATTTTTTCATTTTCCAAAAAATTATGAGAAAAAAATAGAACTTCAAAAAACTTGCCATGCCTCTTATGAAGTACGTTGGACTGTCTACTTTGTAAAAAGGGGTCATTTGGGGATATCTGTACTGTTCTGACATTCTTGGACCTCAAGAAATTAGATTGGCTGTCAGAACTTCAGGATTGATCAATATTCAGATCTATACCATAGTTTGTGAACTCTATAACTTTCCTACAAACTAAAAAATACATCCTAATTTGGGTTATTTTCACCAAAGACATGTGTAGCATAATACATCTCGGCCTAAATTTATGAAGAACAATTATTTATTTGCAAACTTTTATAACAGAAACAAAGAAAAACGTGGGTTTTTTTTTTCAAAATTTTCAGTCTTTTTTTGTTAATTTAGCAAAGAATAAAAACCCCAGCAGTGATTAAATACCACCAAAAGAAAGCTCTAGTTGTGTGAAGAAAATGAAATGATAACATTTTAGTTTGGGTACAGTGTTGTATGACCGCGCAATTGTCATTCAAAGTGTGAGAGCGCTGAAACCTGAAAAATGGTCTGGGCAGGAAGGAGGTAAAAGTATGGAAGTGGTTAAGATAAAAAATGTTAAAATAATTTGCTCCAAATTTGTTAATGACAAATTAACAGTGATGTGTTGATGTACAGTGGAAAAACGATTTAATAGAATCATGGAACACGTTTGGATATCCTGCAATATTGACCCAATCTTGTGCTTAACTTCTGCAAAATACAGTGAGTAGATTTCAGGCCACACAGACGCTGGAGAAAATTTATTATGAAATGGATATATTTAGAAGTAAAGTCATTTATAAAAGGTTTCCTTTGTAGTAGGATTAAAAGGACTGTGTTCAATTTACCACGTTTGCTGATGAAATATTTCAAATGGTTACATAGATTGCTGTCATATAGGTCTACTTGAATCTTTGGTGCAGAGCCTAGCTTGGGTAAGTGGCTCGTGGGTGGAATGTGTATGATTGAACTTGCTTTCCTAAAGGTAATTCTAGGAACTGAAGAAAAAATGAATTTCTGAAAGTGATTCCAATCAACAGATGCCAGTGTTTGTGAGAATGTTTATCTGAGCTATTGGATCCTTATCTTTGGAGAGTGTGAAAAAAAGACCTATGTGATTTAGGCTAGGAGCTTTGGATAAAGAATGGACTATGAAAGGCTCAAGGTAGTACTGCAAGAGCAGAGCAAAAGAAAGTTAAATAAATAGTGTAAGTTTCCTCTTACATTTAGAGGATGATTTAGATTCAAAGTTTGTTTATTATGCAGCCTCATCCTTCAGTCCAATTCAAATACATCCCTAACAGTTTGAGAGTAATGAAGGATTACGGGCCATGCATTTCTGATTTAAAGCAGAACTAAAGTGTTCCTAAACAAAAGAAACTAAAAACGCTACTTAATTCATTTTTTAATATTCACAGCAAACTCACCCATCCATGTCTCTATGTTTTATTTTGTTGATAAATCACTTTTAAACCGTCCCCGGCATTTGAAGCACAGCCATCTTTACATGGTTACATAATTTGTCTGGCTGAAAAAAGAAAAAAAATCTTTTTTTTTTCAGCCAGACAAACTATGTAACCATGTAAAGATGGCTGTGCTTCAAATGCCGGGGACGGTTTAAAAGTGATTTATCAACAAAATAAAACATAGAGACATGGATGGGTGAGTTTGCTGTGAATATTAAAAAGTCCATCCAGTTCAGCCATCTTGAGTGAGAGCAGATGAGTTATGCAGCATTTACTTCTTGAAATCCATCTGCACTTAGCTCAGGCATACAGGCTGGAGGGTGTGTTTAGCTGAGAAAGCCTCTCCTCCAGATGAAAAAAGAAAAATACCCTGGAAGACTCCTGAGATGTATGACATAATTTTGGCCTAGGCCAGAAACCAAAAAGCAACTGAAGAAATGTACAAAAAATGTAAAACAAATAAATATAATTGACCTTCCTATATAATTACTAAGTGTAGTGCACCCCTAAAGAGCCATTGGTGAATTTGGTCTTATTTCCTTAGAGCACCCACAGCCAGGCACACAGCATTTGTTCCACTGGCTCAGAAAACAGTCCGGGGGTTCTTTTTTGGGGTTTTATTGGGAATGTTGAACTGGGATAGTGGAAAGGGAGCATGGGGTACCCTGGAACTATAAAGCTGGGTATCTTGAGGACTTCTCAGTTCCTGGCTGCACTGCACTGACTGTTGGCTATGCAAACAAATGATTGTCCTACAGGATCTCCTATGCTGTAGGTGACCTGTACTCCTTCCAGAGTTCAACAAAAGCTACACCAGAGGCAAGCAACCTTGAAGAGTTGGAGATCTACCTGAACAACACGGATAAGTCAAAGATCACCAGGCACAGTGTTGTCTCCTCACACCTGATTTAAACCTCTAATTGCCATACTACCATGTAGTAATTTTGTGCATTACATGGGAATCATGAGTTTAAATCGGATGGTGAGAGAGCAACATATCACCTCCTCACCACCTGTCAAACACACTCGGATAGCTTTTCAGAGGAGCAGCAGTGCCTGCTGCACTTGTGAATGAACCCTTGGTTGCATTCAACAGCTGCACCCTTAGGGCTCGTTCACATGTAAAGTTGGTTGGTGGTAAAAGCCTTCAGTTGAGTCGCAGTTTTACTACCCCCAATCCCTAGCCCCATTAGCTGCTGAGGCAGTAACCTAAGGTGTACACATGCAGCAACAAGAATTAAACCCCCTGTTGCTTTCAGGGGGTGTTACTGCCTGCAAATCATCACTTATTCAAGTAAATGGGGCACTCTGCAGGTGTCCCGCAACTGTGTACTCACACCTGTGAGTTTCCTGGGTTTGCTGCATTTTGTCATAGACTTCTATTATATCCTGCAGGTTTGGTGCACTTTCTGAAAGCACACCAAAACTCCTGCATTCAGGAGTTTTGGTGCAGTTTCAGAAATTGCTCCCAACTTGCAAGATATAATAGAAGTCTATGGCTACATGCAGCAAACCCAGGAAAGCTGCAGGTACACTGCACTGCACCCATGGTGTGGGTAAATGGCAGAGCATCAGTGTGAAAGCAGTCCTATACTATTACACACAGTGTATTGCTTCCTACTGACCTGAAGATCTCTTCTTTCCTGCTGCTGGTACCACTCTGGAGACCGCTAGCCGGGATAAGAGATGGAGTGCAGTTGGTATCACTTCGCATGGGACAGAAGCCAGCACTACAGGGGAGGGAGGCATCGACTTATGTAGCTCCTGCTTCCTACTACGGCTTCAACTTTACAGTTAGTCCCTCTGCATTGCTGGGATGGTGGGTAAGCAAGCCCAGATCGTGATCTACCAGTCACCTGGCCGCAATTAATTGGTAGATCGCAATCTACTGATTGCTGATCCCTGAGCTACACACAGTCACTTTTCCTTCAGCATTGAGGGTCAGATACTCACTTAGCCACAAGATCACCAAGTACTTCCTGCCAATATCCATCGGGCTCTACCTAGTGAGGGAGATATAGACTCACACCACTATAGGAGAGCTAGACTCTTTCCCACCAACTTCCTCCTGGCTCTCTCCCATGAGCTACTCCAGACCCAACTTGATCCCTGGACTTGAATTTGTGAATAGGCTCCCCAGCTACTCTTAGCTGGGACCTCGATGTCTTCACAAAGGCTTCCATTTCCAATTAGCCCAGGACTTAAGCTTGTGAATAGGCCCCCCCCCAGCTAAGCCTAGGTGGGAGCTCAATGTTTTAACATAGGGACTTCTAAAACTCTTGCAGAACTGGACCCAGGAACACTGCACCCTGCTGCTCAGGCCTCAAACAACTTATGAGCTCTCTCACCACCTACTGGGCACACCTCCACAGGGATTGGCTGAAATTCCATAAATATTTAGGCTGCCCACTCTGTGTTTCCTCCCACTATGATTCTAGAATCCTCTAGAAGACAGGGAAAGCAATCAGAGCAGCAGCCTGTGAAACACTGAACAGCCCTAAATTATCAACCCCTGTTCCTCCAACTACAAAGGAGCCAACTAAATTTACCTAGCAGCCTACTCTACACAAGAATGGGTGCTAAGGCTAGTAGCATAAGGATTCAAAGTAGTTAAAGTGTTACTAAACCCACAACAGTAAAATCAGTCTGTATATACAGTAAAGCATGCTTGTTATACTCACTGTGGAACCTAAGGGGTTAATCCTCTGCATTGTGTAAAAAGGCTGTTTGATCCTGACTTCTCTGATCCTTCCCTTCTTCCTGTGTCCCCCTCTTAGCTCCTGATAAGACATATCGTGTGAAGTCACTCTGCACATGCTCAGTTTGGTGTATATTGCTAGAGGGTTTTTTTTTATTTTCTTGGGAGAGTGCATGTGATCAACACAGAACACTGTCCAGACAGGGGTCAGGGATTGTGCAGCCTCCTAGTGTTCTAATCTATACCCACTCCATCCAAAAATAAGAAATAATAAAGAAAAATACAGTTTTGGAGAAATACCCTTTTAATGGATACATTCTAGTATGCTTTTTTTTTATAAGAAAGGAATCTGCATTCTAGGGGAATGGGTGTGGTATAGCCAGGGGCATATTTACCACAAGGCAAACAAGGCATTTGCCTGGGGCAATCTAAATTTTAAAAAAATATAGTAAAAAAAAGATAACTTCACTTTTGTTAAAAAAAAACACAATCCCCTCTGGGTGATTAATGTACATCGCAAGGATGATTTTGGCAAACTGTGTTGCAGATTCCTACTTGTTTCTGCTCTGAATGTATAGTTCTTTGCTAGATCATGTCTTGTGCAGTGTTGGTGTTGATCTGAATGGGAGCAACTAATTCTAATTATTGGCAACTGATGAACTTTCAGGGTTTTGATGAAAAATGTTGCAGTGTCTGCATCCCTTTAGAAGTGATTAACCATTAGGGAGTATCTCACCAAAAATTACTATTTTTGTTGCAGAGGATGATTTGTATCATAGTGCAATTTTTTTCACCTAAGCAAGAAATTTTATTTTTGGAGGTGTACCCAATGCCTCCAGGTTGCCATATTGCATTGAATTTTACAGAAAATTACAGCGGCTGAAGTTTGAAAAGAAAGCTAATGCTCAATAACATTAAATTACAATATTTCTTTATTTGTTATATTTTTTCCAGGTAAGTGGAGTTACCCTCTAAAGAAAAATGGGGGTTATGTCTGGCGTTACATAAAACAGTCTTTTGTCTTGGTATGTATGGATAGATGGTAGCCTATGGATTGACTGGACCATTGTGTTTGGGCAACCTTTACCTTGAATGTCCTTAAATACGTTTTTTATAATTGTGTTTTTTATTAAATGTGTTTCAAGTCATACAATGAAAGAAGTACATATGCAGAATTGTCCTAGGTGTCCCACAATTTGTTGAATCGAGACAGAGTGTTATTTACTAAAGCAGTTAGGTATTCCATTCTCCTAATATCAGCTATAATATTCAAAAGCTGGGCTAGAGAAGGGGGGACAGAAGACAGACAATTTAATGGGATGGTTCTCTTAGCAGCTAGCAAAATGTAAGAGAATAGCTTATTCTCAAGCTTACTAATGCCTGGGAAGGGAAGGGCCAGAAGGTAATGTATCTGTTCCAGTGCAAGGGACACTTCAATTAATCGTTGGAGCAGAGACATCACTATATTCCAAAACTGCATAATCAATTTACATTGCCAGAAGATATGGTAATGAGAACCTACATCAGTGCTGCAGTGCCAGCAAAAAGTGAATGGTCATGGTGGTGTAATACTCCAGGCGTCCTGTACCAAAACATTAAAATTTTGAAAGCAGCCTTTCTCTGCACCACGCAACGGGAGATTTTGGAAGCGAAGTACCAAATCTTGTCCCAGCAAGAGAGGATGATAGGCCGCTCAAAAATGTGGGATCATTTACAAGTGTAAGTATGGAGGCCTTCGGTAAGAGGGGAGGCCGCATGGAGCAGTTTGTAAATGGAAGATATTAGGTAGAATTGATAGAGGGTCTTGGGCACAGATGTATTTAAATGTAGTTGGTTTAGGCAAAGTAAGAGATGAGGAAAGGGAAGAAAAATAGAGTTTAGTTTGAAGGTTAGAGAAAAACATATGTTTGGGAATGTGGTACTTGGCTTGCAGGTCATTAAAGGTGCAGAACCTTCGAGTAGTAGGCTTAGCAGCTGAAAGAGAGTGGCTTGAGCCCAAGGAGCCATGCATAGGATGGGCTATCAGAAATTAGAGGGTTAAAGAATACATTAGATAATGTGGGGCATGGTGAAGAGAGAGAGAACTTAGTAGAGCAGCGTTTTTCAACCACTGTGCCGCGGCACACTAGTGTGCCGTGAGATATTGTCTGGTGTGCCGTGGGAAAAATTGCAATTTCATCCGTAACATGTGGCCTCGGCTCACAAATAGAGCAATCATTAGAACAGCAATGGGCAAACTATGGCCCGCGGGCCGTATACGGCCCGGCGGACCTTTTAATCCGGCCCGCGGAGCGTGATACTGTCAGGATGATCTGTCCCCCTCGACGTATCTGCGCATATGCCGGAGATCGCCGATCGGCTGCTAATGCCTGAAACTGGCACATGCGCAGATACGTCGAGGGGGACAGATCCTCATAGGAGACAGATTTTCATGCTACACCGGAACGGCGAGAGGAACGCGCGGAGCAAAGGTAAGTGAATTGACACAGGGGGGGCTTGGGGACTTAATATGGGGGATGAATTAATATGGGGGATGAATTACTATGGGGGATGAATTACTATGGGGGATGAATTACTATATGGGGGATGAATTACTATGGGGGATGAATTACTATGGGGGATGAATTACTATGGGGGGATGAATTACTATGGGGGATGAATTACTATATGGGGGATGAATTACTATGGGGGATGAATTACTATATGGGGGAGGAATTACTATATGGGGGATGAATTACTATATGGGGGATGAATTACTATATGGGGGATGAATTACTATATGGGGGGTGAATTACTATGGGGGATGAATTACTATGGGGGATGAATTACTATATGGGGGATGAATTACTATGGGGGATTAATTACTATATGGGGGATGAATTACTATGGGGGATGAATTACTATGGGGGATGAATTACTATATGGGGGATGAATTACTATGGGGGATGAATTACTATATGGGGGATTAATTACTATGGGGGATTAATTACTATGGGGGATGATGAATTACTATGGGGGATGAATTACTATATGGGGGATTAATTACTGTGGGGGATGAATTACTATGGGGGATGAATTACTATATGGGGGATGAATTACTATGGGGGATGAATTACTATATGGGGGATGAATTACTATGGGGGATGAATTACTATATGGGGGGGATTAATTACTATATGGGGTATTAATTACTATGGGGGATGAATTACTATGGGGGATGAATTACTATATGGGGGATGAATTACTATGGGGGATGAATTACTATATGGGGGATTAATTACTATGCTTACTATGGGGGAATATTACTATACTTACTATGGATGACACATACACATCATTCATCTGCTCTTGGTCCGGCCCCCGGGTCCAATATATGAACCCATTGCGGCCCTCAAGTCAAAAAGTTTTTCAATAAATTTTTTAACATTTTCTAATGGTGGTGTGCTTCGTGATTTTTTTCATGAAAAAAGTGTGCCTTTGCACAAAAAAGGTTGAAAAACACTGTAGTAGAGCATAAATGCCAGATCATCAATGTGAACAACATCAGAGTCATAACATAACATAACCAGTTCAGTGTAACATCAATGTGGGTAGAGGGAGAGAGCAAGGGTGTGCAGGGTATATGCAGATCATCTCAATATCCAACCATCTATTTGGAGCATATTTGCTAGACCATGAAGCAACATAGATGGGTAGCATAATAATATTTAATAACATCCGGGGCTTCTAATTCCCCACAAGACTTAAAAGAAAACACCACAGAACTGGCTATCCAATGAGCTTTGTTGTGCCAAATAAAATTGGCGTTGAAGGGACTTAATTTGGGATAAAGGTATAAGTATAGGCAGCGTTTCAAAAAAATAAAGTAATTTCAGGAATATAGACATTTTTAAAACATTTATCCTTCCCAATTAAGAGATATATAGGTGTCCCATAGTTTCAATGTATTGAGAATTTCTTGGAAAAGAGGGAGGCAATTAGCAGTATAAAGGGAAGAGTAAGTAGGGGTTATCTGTACTCCCAAATATTTAAGGGGTGAGTACACCACCTGTAGGGGTGTCTGCTGTAAAGTGGCTAAAAGGTCAGGGGAATATGAAGAGGCATAACTTCTGTTTTAGAAATGTTCACCTTATAACCGGACAAAGAGGCAAACTGAAATAACAGGGCATGTAAAGATGGGAGAGAAAGATGAGGATTTGTTAATGTGAGCAAGATATCATCTGCAAAAATGGAGAGTTTCTATTCCCTCTGTCGCATAGGGACCCCCCATATGTCTGGGTGGGAGCAAATGGCAGTAGCCAGGGATCTAGGCAAAGAATAAAAAGAAACGGCAATAACGGACAACCCTGTTTGGTGCCATTAGACATCAGGAAGGGCTGCGACAGAAAGGAAGACAATTGAACTTGGGAAGTGGGGTGGGGATATAAGGTTGTCAGTGCTGCTGTGAAAGGGCTGTGGAAGCCGTAGCAGGACAAAGTAGCAAACATATATGACCAACTTAATCCTAAATAAGTTTAATACGCCTGGTTATTTTTTTGTGCCTGCATTTAATGTAGATTCAAGAGTCTGTATCATGAGTCAGTATAAGAGTTTGATTGATGTAATTGCATTACGTTCTGTTATTGAAATAGACAGTCATATGATCTGATGACAATATTCAAGTAGTGGTAAAAGTGACTGTTGGATTAGCATAGTAACTGTGAGCAGTGAAATGAATGGGTCCGCTGCAATTGTATGTGTCAGTATTTCCGTCATGCTGTCAGTGTGTGGGTGCAGTGGAACTTTGAATTCGCCAGCTAGGATCGTTCATCACTGAAGATGGATCATTTCTGCATTTGCTCTGTATAAACATTTGCTAAAGTTACCAGCCTTTCGTTTAGTCAGTTTTGAATATAAGCTGCCAAGGTGGATCTAGATCTTGATGGATGAATGTGGCAAGCCGTCAAGCTGCAGAGGTCCCTACCTTTTTCAACTTGTGAGCCATGTTCAAGGATGACTGTTAAGAAGCCACTGTAACTATGAGAAATAGCACCCTAAAAACACTTTAGAATATGTAACCTTAAAGGGGTTGCAAACCCATGGGATATTGCTATGTATAAACAATAGGACACAATACCAGGAATGAAATTGCAGATTAAAAGCTTTTAAAGCTGGAGTAGGGAGTAATATAATCCCTGTGAGATTTGGGAAATTTCCCTTCGCTTCTTGTTCAATAGCCAAAAACAGGTAGTGAGAGGAAATCTCTTCAAAATGAGGTAATCCTTGGTTGTTACCAGGATTACTAGAGCTAGTGTCCAAACTGGAAGATTTTCCCTGGTTCTAGGGAGAGCCCAACATTTTTTAATTTCTTTCACTTCACATTTGGTAAACACACTAGTGCGAC